AGGGTAATCAGGCATTGGAACGGCCTACCCAGAGAGGTGGTGGATTCACCATCCCTGGAGGTTTTTAAGCAGAGATTGGATGTGGCCCTTAGTGCCATGATATAGTAATTGGAGTTGGATCAGGGGTTGGACTTGATGATCTTGGAGGTCTTTTCCAACCCAATCTATTCTATGATTCTATGATTCTAATAAACCTTAAAAGGTTAATTAGATATATAATTAAATACAGACTTACGGTGGGATCTTCTCAATGACCTTTTGAAGAACTTTTTCAACATTTGTTCCTTGTTTAGCAGAAATCTAAAAAAAAAATCCAACAATTTTGCAAGACACAACTTACACTCATTCAATATCAATTACAGTGTCACGTTTACTTAAACAGTTTTGGAGGCCCTAGAGAATACTCCCCATAAAACCACTCTGAAGGACACTTTAGAATGCTATTACTGTGAAATGGTTATTTTCTCATAGTTAAATGTTTTCTCTTGTGAATGGCAATTATTGGTATGATAGAAATGAAAATTTATGGATCGACAATGAGAAAATTTTAAGTCTCTGATGCCATTCATCAAAACATACTTGAATTTTTAACTGAAAAGTATTTTCTCCACTCTTTTACAGGAGACAAACTTTAAATAAATTCATCTGTCAGACAAAGACATGCACACAGATGGCACCCTTTTGATTTACTACATGTACATGTCTTTCATTAGCTACAAAGCAGATACTGTTATACCATCAGCCACGTTATAAAACTTAAGAGGTCTTACCCTTATGCATTCATCTGCAGGGATATCAAACAGCTTCTCAATTTGTTTTTCAACTCTTTCAGGGTCTGCATTCTTCAGGTCAATCTGAAAAAAAACCAAACTGCTCAATATAAAAGCAATCGCTCTTTCATATGATCCAGCATCTTTTTCCAGAAGTACGAGAAACCTTTATGTATTTATGAGTAAATACTGGCTGTCTTCAAGAAATGATCAAGATTAATTTTAGAAAGTCTTCCTTCCTTGACTCCAGTAAGGATGCTCCCTGCAACTAATCTATTTTTGGCTTGTTTCATTAGGCAAAACACTGTTTTTTCCAAGAGTTGGAAAAATCTTTAGTTTACAAAGTAATTTTAAATCATTAAGTGCTACCTACACTGTTTTACAGGATCAAACATTAAGTACAATATACATCTACAGAAAGCAATTAACATAAGCTGAGCAGTAACTAATCTTGTGATTCCAATAATACAAGCCTCAAAATTGTATAAAACATAACACTTGGATGTCATTTAAAACTACAACTACATTTTTAAATATTGAGCTGCTACTCATTGAGCCTCCTCAGTATCAATGGACTTTTAACACCATCAATTCCAAACGTAAGCCTGGCACTACAAAGTCCACCACTAAGCCATGTACTTAAGTGCTACGTTTTTTAAATACCTACATGTATTTTATGACATTTGTTAAACAGACAACAAATACAGACAATTCTTATTACATTCCAGTATTATTATATATATCTATTATACCATTTTTTTTCATTATATACTTCATTATATACTTTCATTATATACTTCTATTTCAGGATACATTTCTTATCAGTCTTCTACACACTTAAACAACCCAACTATTTAATAGGAAAGTCTAAAACTTTTATTACCTTATTTATGACAGGAATTATTGAAAGCTGTGCTTCAAAAGCAAGGTAGAAGTTTGCCACTGTCTGAGCCTGAATACCCTAGAAAATAAGCATTACTAAAGTTTAATATAGAAACTTCCTGAGTTTTGGTGTGTGCTTGGGTTTGGGGTTTTTTAAGCATACTATACAATTTAAGATTACTTCACTATTCTATTCACTCTTTTATTTCCAAGATGGAAAATAAGTAAAAGGATTATACACAATTGCTGAGAAAAAAAACAGTTTTCCTAATTATAATTTCTCATAATCTGCATATAAGTAAACAAACTAATAATAATGTATGTGTGGCCACTTTAATGGAATTTTCATAGATAACATAACATACATTATGCACCAAGTACATATTTTCATGTATGTTACAATTTTAGCTATTCAGAAATAAATAACTGGTATCTCAAAGAAGACATTTTTTTTTTTTGTTCTCAACAAACTATTTACAAATGGACTCTGACAAAGAAAAAGGGATATTTATCATGGTGATAAGACTCTAATTACTCCACGCATCAGCAATATACCTTCAACTTACCTTACAGTTACTTTCATAAAAGAAAGCAAATGATAAAGTTTATACCTCACATTTCTTTCACAAGGATAGCAGAACAACAGCTCTGATTAGATGAAAAGGAAAGATTCCCTTCCAGATCCAAGTACCAGACCAAGGAAAGCAAAGCGACAGAGATGCTAATGAATGAGGATATAAAGCAATATCATCTCAACTGGACCGGAGAGGGCAGAAGGGGGGATGAAGAGAAGAGAAGGAGTTAAAAAACATCTACTTGTTGTCTTTCCTTTGTTCAGAACAGATCAAATGGAAGATTACTTATATGGGGATATTCATTACGGATATATGGGCCTAACTTTTTAGGTAATATAAAGAAGTAACAAAGAATGCTTATTAAAAAAAAATGCAATTAATAAGTTGAGTTTGTAAGCCTTCTGACAGAAAGACAATTAACACCAAATAATCACACAATATTTAAATATGACATTAAAAAATTAAATATAAAAACATCAACACATGTAGGGGACATACTTATTACTAAAGCTTACTTAAAAAGTTGACTTGCCCATCAAGCTAAGAAGTAAGTGTTCATAATCATTGGGAGTTAGTTAGTTAGTTAGGTTTGGGTTTTTTTCATAAAACATGGGAAACACTAGCATTCATTTGACCCTTGTACAATACAATCATAAATACGCCACAGAGAAAATTCTCACAAAGTATTTCATTGATAATGTGCCCATATTTAAAATCATGATTTCATAATTCTCATATTCTAGTCTGTTAACTGAAGGTACTCAAATGGGTGTTAGTACAACAGCTAGAAGAAGTTCTCCAGACTGCCATTTGCAAAGTTCATACTCTCCAAAACACAGGATCTGAATTCCTCACTAATCTTGTGCTATTATTGCTATGCCATGGAGCTGTGGTATCTTTTAATAAAAGTATTTGTCTCTAGATTTTTTCTAAAGCCCCATTGCTCTTCTTCTGCAACATAATACTTTTACGGAGATAAATGAAGGGCAAAAACAGTGGTGGAAAAACTAAAAAAAAAAAAACCACCACTAACCTTCGCTCTAGCTTACTTAAGGAAATACTGAAATTCTAGATAAGAAACAAGAACTAAGAACTCTACCTCATTTGCATCCACTACAAGTATGACACCCTGACAGGCAGACAGTGACCGTGACACTTCATAGCTGAAATCTACGTGACCCTGTGGAGAAAACAAATG